GCACCAGCTGTATGTCCTTATCCTAATGAATCACAATTGTTTTTTTCTTCATGGTTCTGGGGATCAAGGCGAATTCTGTGCCAATGAGCTACATCCCTAGGATATAAATTGGGTTCTTAGTTTATCATGAGTTGACCAACAGTAGAATAAGATAGGTTTTGTGCTGGCTGAGGGCACCCCGCTTCAGGTTGCTCTGCTCTTAGAGGGTGCTGCCATTCAGTGTTGGGGAGGATCAACTGGGATTCACACTCTGGCCTTCTCCAACCTGCATTGTCTCAGTGCTGGGCTCAGGATACTCTGTAGTAGTGGTGGTGGAGCTCTTCCTTACCCACCGGACTGGTATTTTTTTCATGACCATAAATATTGCAGTAGGAATGTGCCTCCCTTCTCTGTTTAAATGTTCTACCCGCCCCCCCCCCCCATGATTATTTTTTAAAGTACACTGAGTTTACGTTAAAAACCAACATAGAGGGCTGGGGTTGTGGCTCAGTGGTATAGCGCTTGCCTGGCATGTGTGAGTCACTGGGTTTGACCCTTAGCACCCCATATAAATAAATAAAATAAAGGTCCATTACAAAAAAAGAAAGACCAACATAGATTTCAGCATGCATTTCCTAAGCTGGAGGACAAGCCTGCCCTTTCTTACACAGTAACTCTTAGGAGCTCAGGTGTTAATGTGCCTAAAATTCCTTACTGGTGTTAAAATGAATTGTTCATTTGTTTTTCAGTTTTTTAAAGAAAGCACCCAAAGGTTAAGTAATATTACATTGAAGGACCAGAAGTTGCCTTGTTGGAAACAAAAAACTATTTACATTTAATAAGAAATCTGTTTGCAGGTTGTGTCTGCCACATTTACAGCACAGTGTAATATGCTGTTACCAAAGGCATAATGAAATACAGCTTGTGGCACTCATGCAGTATAGCATTGTTGACCACCAGCGAATCCACTGGAGGTAGGAAAGGAAAGCAGGACCAGGCCTCCCATTCATCCATTTCTCCTCTGTCACTGCTTGGGCAGCCCTCTGTAGAGCCCGTTGCTATGCTCCTAGCACAGGTGGCCTGAGGTACCTGTTTCGGGTGCTTAGAAAGTCCAGACCCAGCTGTCTGCGATTCCAGCAACCTTATGGCATGGGGCAATTTCTTTCTTGGCAAACACTAGTAGGTCGGAACACCTGATCTTATGAAGTATTATAGGGCAAATAAGTAAGCGTCCAGTTGTCATCCAGATGTAAACAGTTGATCTGATCCCGGAAGGCCTGCCCATGTGACCCATCCCAGTCTCTTTCTTTCTTTGTTTTCTTTGCAGTGCTGGGGATGGAACCCAGGGCCTCATGCATGCTTGTCAAGTGCTTTACCACTGGGCTACACCCCAGCCCACTCCTCTCAATCTTCACCTCCAACTTCTCTCTATGAATGTCCCTACGACTTTGACTCTTATAGTAATCATTTCCTTTTATTCTAAAACAGCTTTATTGTTTCAAGATGCCTTGGTTTGTTTGTTTCTCTTTTTCATGTTAGTTTATTTGAGTGGTATTTGGAGACCACAGTTGGGGTGCTAGGCATGGTCATTTCTATGGATTGATTGATCATTTCTTCTAGTCCTTTAAATTGACAGTGCTGGAAGATAAAGTGTGTATATTCACAGTTTTTTTTTTTTTTTTTCCATTTGGTGGTGCAGGGGATTGAACTCAAGGCTTTGGGGGTATGAGGCAAGCACTCTACCAATTGAGCTATAACCCAAGCCCTATTCACAGGTTTTTAACAGGTATGTTTTAACAGAATGTGTATTGTATTAACTTCTGAGGCGTGCTTCATCAGTATTCTCTTACCATGATCTCATTCTTCCTTTTATTTATTTATTTGTTTTGGTCACAGAATTATGGAAGTTGGGATACTAGGATATTGCTTTCTTATTTTGCTTGAATTGCATGTGAGGGACAACCTCGGGAGTCCTCCATACATGGATAAGAAGGAGCTAGTTGTTTGGAACCTTTGTTTGAACAGTCACCCACCACACTAGTGGCTATTTTTCCTTTGTGTTGGATGGGACAAAGAATAGTCACTAAATACTTGATGTGAGCATTTATCTGGACAATTTTGCATTTTGGGGTGAGCAATTTTCCTCAAATTAGAATACACGAGACAAATCTGGTTAATCAGTGGTCCAGGTCTTCAGGCTCCTTTTAATCAGAAGTTTTACTCTATAATCATAATGTATTTTGGGTGTTCTCATTTACATTGTCTCTTCCATCTGTGTGGGTATTCTGATTGCTTGATTACATCTGCCTGGCATAGTGGTTTTTAAAACAGCGTTTATAATGAAGTTTTTCTGTCTTAGCAGGTAAAATGAGAATATGGAAAGACAATTGGTGTTGAAGCATGATTGTCCCCTCTTGCCTTCCATAGCATTTAGTGAGTGGCAGGTTTGGGATAAAGAGAAATGAGTATGATTACTGCCCTGGTCCATAATGGATGGCTTATAAAGATGGAGACCTGGTTTGCAGGGAGTGGTGGGTCTGCCAACTCTTCTCAGGTACAACAGCTCCACTTTTCATGTGTTTTATATTTTTATGATTTTGTATAAGTTTTTTTTTTTTATGACAATAGGTTCTGCTAAAACTAGATTCAAACATTTGATGGAGAGGTACTTTATGAGCATCTTTTGTGGCTAAAGAAGTTTCTTACCCCAAATTTGCCATTTGGAATACTAATAATTGTAGGTATTTGGGTTCCTATAGTCTATATTGGAGTTCTGCGGACCGAACTGTCTTATTCTAGTGTTCGCTGTCTGTTGGGACTTCTGGGTAGTGGAGAAAACCTAATAATTGTCAGTGAAGCTCCATATCCTGTACAACCACAAGACTGGGATCTTGATTAGAATCAGTTATATCCATGTATGTATAATATGTCGAAATACACTCTACTGCCATGTTTATCTATAAAGAATAACAAAAAAATTCTGTTCCAGAAAAAACAAACACCTAATAGTTGTGGTATACAGCTTGGTGCTTCACTTTATAATTGATGGGCCTCAGGCAGTTACCCCAAAATATGGCCTCTAGGCATATTGAATATTGTGAGCTGAAGGAGTTGGAGAAAATACCAAAAGCAGAACCCTTTTCCATCATTCTCCTGTCAAGCACATGATATAACCTAGGGATTTTTTTGATGTATCTCTTAAAAAGGTTGTAAGGCCTTTGCTGGTCCTGGAGGAAAGGGTGGAGGGACACAGAGCACGCCCGAGTAAGTGAGCAGGCCTTGAGAGGTTCCCCAGTTTACTGCGATTGCCCTGTCATTTCCCATGACTGACCACACTTTATCAAGTCTGTATAAGAAATGCTCAAGTTTAACTCTCTCTTTGGGTCTTCATTTTCTTATGAGGGCTTGTGGGTCAGGTAAAACTTACAGTACATAAACCCATGTGCTTCTGTTCTGTTAATCTGTCACTAGTAGTGGATGACTCAGCCATAAACTTGGAAGGGTAGAGTGAAGAGGTGTTTTTCCTCCCTTATGTTATTTTATTTAATCCTAAAATCAAGCATGGAAGACTGCTGGTCACCCAAAGAAACAGACTCAGAATCTAAAATTTCCCTTTCCCCATCTTGCTTTTGGGCAGCAAGGAAATATACAGTAGAGGCAGTGGCTTTTCGACACATTTGTTCTGAATGAGTTCAGTTGCCATTTTTAATTTCCTCCTATACTCGGTAACCTTTTATGATCCATATCTCAGCCTGGACTTGCTTTATTGGCCTTCTAGACAGGGTTACTTGACTGTCCCTTGGGCATCTCAGCTCAACATGTGCAGAGTTGAAGTCATCATCTCTTCTCCCGAATACGTATCTTCTCACATATTCTTTTTGTTGATTCCCGTTCTGTTTCTACCTCCTGCTCTGGGTGGGTTTACTCCTCTTCAGCCACTGTGGCTGGGAGGCTTGTCCAAGCAGCAAGCTGTGAGGGCTCTGGTTACCAGGAGAATGGCGCTCCTTTCCCTTGCCAGGATCTTCACAAGCAGCCACCGCAACAGGTAGAGCAGGTGACGTAACATGATATACAAGCAGTGTGACTTATGGTCACCCCAACCCTGACCATGGGTCCTAGAAGAACCAGTAGTTAGGCATCCTGCCTGGGGATGCCCAGAATGCACATCAGCTTTTTCCTTTTTTATATTTAATTTTCTTTGCTTAATGACGTCATCCTTTATGTCAGAGAACATCTGCCTTGCCTCTAACTATATTGTATTCCATTGTGTCCCTACTTACTATTTTCAATCTACCATTTTGCTTATTATGACATAAACACACAAAGGTAGACCCGTTGTCAGAGAGCTGTTGTAACTTATACAGAGCAATTCGCTTATTTATTTATTTATTGGAAACCATAACTCTCTTGTTGAGTTCTCACTGTATTCCTGACTCACCTTTTGTAGTCACAGGTTGTAAAACAATTCTGCTCCTTATTTCTGGGTTATTGGTCATCTGCTCATGTTTCCTTGGATTTGCTAATATCCTGTAGTCTTCATCCATGTTATCCCCTGACATGTAACTCAAAACCTGGCACAGAGTTGGCATTCAGTATGTGTGGGTGTTTTGTATGAAGTTCTGGGCTGCAGGATATTGAGGATACAAAGGTTTACAAGGCAATTTAAAGGTGAACTTACTGTTTTGATTGGGTGCAGGGTATTGTATAAAAATATCTTGTCATAGAGGTTGCTTTTCCAAAGAATACTGTTGCTGTCGAGTTGCTGCATTATTTTCAGATCTTCTATGACCTGAATTTGTTCAATATGTCTGTGTACACATGTACTATAAGCAATACAGCATTGTATATTTTAATGTGTTGGCGCAGAGGTTTACTTTTCAGTTTGATATATAAATATAATAATTATAGTTATTAATATGTAATTATACAAACATGTATGGTTTTAAAAAAAATAAAATTATGACTCCTTATCATGCTATGTAATGTTTTTGTTATAAATTTCAACTTGTTTTTCTCCGCAGGCAGCAGAAGATGTTATTTTCATTGGACCTGACACACATGCTATTCAAGCCATGGGTGACAAGATTGAAAGCAAATTATTAGCCAAGAAAGCAAAGGTTAACACAATCCCTGGCTTTGATGGGGTAGTAAAGGTGAGAAACTGTATTTCTGTTATCTTTATAGTACCCGACCTCCAACCAAACATTTTGTGACAGTTCTAGGATGAAATGTAATTATCATTTTTTTGGATATACATGAGATAAAAAAAAATCAGTGTTGTTTACACTTGGATTATTTTCAGTGTAAAGAGAAGTGCCTTAAGCATTGTATTTAATGAATCAGTATTCACTTAGCCTTTCATGAGAGAAAAACTTGGTGATTGAAAATGGTGCTGTCAGATCTATGGATTTCATGTAAGTTTTGAACATTGTGATGTTGTCTTTACCAATATAAGTTATAACCCTGTTTCTGGTGAGGCAGTGGTAGAGCCCTGGGTGACTAGATTCCCAAACATTCCGCACATGACTTGCAGCTGAAAGCTGCTAAGGGGGAAATGCAGAAACTGGATGTGTGAGTCCCCCCATCCCAGGAAAAGTCATTTATTTTTTCTGGTGAGAAGAGAGACTTGCCATCTTGTGATCTGAGTGAATCTGCAAAACTCTTAATCTCCGTGTTTCTTTTGTTGTGTTTGGCATTTCCTGCTGGACAGTTTTCTGTTGTGCAGGTCATTCACGGATCACAGGGCAGGAGGCTGATGTAGAGTGTAGGGAGGGATGTGCTCGGCAACATGCCAGCACCACCCCATGGCACAGAAGGGACCTGAGCATCCTCAGATCCTGGTATTGTGGTGGGGAGAGTGTGGAACAGTCCTCCATGGTACTGAGGGACACCTGTAGTTACCTTAGTCTTTTTTCATTCACGTCATACCTTCTCTCTCATCATAAGGAGGAGGGCTTCTGCAGCTTGTATAGAATTGGCTCCTCCCGCACCCCAGACTCACCGTCTCAGCCTTTACAAGCTAGTTTTTACAGATTAGTTCTTCTGTTTTCTATCTTAACACTCATCTTTTTTTTTCCATTGTATTTCCATTAGTGTTAGAAATGCTCAGTCTGCAGCAGTATTGATCACTTGGCTGCACGAGAAGGGTGTGGCGATGAACAGAACACACAGGATTAGTGGAAAGGCACAGATGGTTCTCCATTCCTAAAGCACGATGCCCTTCCTTTTAGACCTGCCTTACAGCTTTCCTGACCACACCTTTCAGTCCTCTTCCTTCTGCCGCAATCTGGCTTCCCTGCTCACTGCCACTGGAGTCTCTTGCCAAGGCTCCCAGCACTCCCTCCCTTTTGCTCAGTACAACACATAATTTTAATCCTGACCTTATCTAAATCTCTTCTGAGCATTTGCATCTCCTGGTCATCTTTCCTTCTTGAAATAACTTCTGCTGCCACATTATTCAGTTCTGGTTTTTAGTGAGTGTTTTTGACTTGCTAGGATGCTCCTTCATAGTTCTTTTGCAAATCCTCCCTCTTGTTTTCACTCCTACGTGTTGGTTTTCTTTCGGATTCTCAGGAGGATATTTTCTTGTGTTGTATTTCATGACTTCATTTATCATCTTTTCTGCCAAATTTCAAATAAATAAACAAACAAACAAACAAATACTCCAGATATATCTTCTGAGCTTCAGAATTCATATCTAATGTCTTCTTAAGCAGCTGTCAATACTCAGTGTCCCTTGAGGCACCTTGAAAGTTACAAGTCAAAAACTGAACTCATCATCTTTATCTCTAAACCAAGGATTGTTGCTAGAGCCCTATGCTTGCTTGTTTTCATTAAAGTTTTATTGGACCACAGTTATGCTTGTTTCTTTACATATCATCTATGGTTTCTTCTCTGCTACAGTGGTAGGGCTGGGTAGTTATGATAGAGACCATATAGTCCCCAAATTTTGCTGATGCCTATTCTAAACTTCTTATCCTTCATTCTTTTTTACCTAAGAAAGTGGTGGCATTTTTGATGCTTTTTTCTCAAACTAGAAACTTGGAAAACTTGGAATTATTCTTTATCAATACCACTGCAGAAAACTCACTTTAGTAGCTTTCTAATCCATTCACTTCTTTCTCTTGCCAAGCTAACACCAAGTTCAGTTGCCATTATCTAATCTGGATTACTTCATCAGCTTTCTAACTGGTCTCCATTGTGGTTCCAATCCAGTGAATTCTCAACATCTCAGCTTTAGTGATCTTTCTGAAATCCACGCTGGTTCATATGCAAGTCTTCAGGAACTACTGAGTAACTAATCATTCAAATCTTTTAAATAGCTGGTTCATGGTTTCAGAGGTTTCTCTCCATGGTCACTTGTTTCTGGGCCTGCGATGAGGCAGAACATTATGGCAGGGAGCATAATATGCTCACCTGTGGCAGCTCCAAAGCAGAGAGGGACAGAGAGCAGAAGGTCCTACAAGGACTCACCCTCAGTGGTTTACTTCCTCCAACTAGGCCCTAACTCTTAAAGGCTGTACAACCTCCCAATAGCACTCCCAATGAAGGCTGGGGACCAAGCCTTCAACACATGAGCCTTGGGAGGATGTTCCAGATACAAACTACAACAGAGGTTAATTGTTATTATCTAAGAGTCAGCAAAAAAGCTGAGGCCCTCAGTCATACAGTCACAAGGAGACAAATGTTACTGTCCAACCTCAGTGAGGTTGGCAGCAGATTTGTCCCCTCTTGAGCCTTCAGTGAGAAAGCAGCTTGCTTACTCCCTGATCACAGCCTTGGGAGACCCTGAGCAGACTATGATGAATCTTTGCTTTCTCAGGCCTTCAGTTGTTGGGCATTAGTCCAGCTTTGCCATCTCATTTTAGATTTGGGCAGATTTGGGTAGGCCTTTTTAGATTTTCAATTTGGGCTTAATTTAGGCCCAAGTGTACTGATGACGCAGTTCAGATAAATTCTGATTTGATGGTGAATATGGAGTCCTTGGGGGGGGGGCGCTCAAGGAGGGGTGGCCAGGAGGACATTCAATCTGCACTTCTGTTTGCACAGTGGACTTTTTCTTATGAAGTTAGTGGGTGTTGTTCCTCGTTGGAAAAGGGGACTATCTATTGATTAAAGGTCCAAAGGTGACAGTTGTGGGTAGGGACACGGGAAATGTGAGGGATACTCTTGATAACCATGAACCAGTAGTTTGTTGACTGTGAGGGAGTGCTTTCGTAATCATGGCAGGAATTAAGGTCAATCTTGTATCACCTGAATTGATGAAAATTACACATTTAGTTTTATGTGTAAAGCCTCCAGCTTTTTCTGGGTCTTATTTGACTTTTGTGTTTAAGCTCTTGGAAAATATACAATATAGAGTTGAAAAGCTGACTATGTGGTTCTTCCCAGTCCGTTTTTGCTCATTTATAAATGTTCTGTTTCTGGCTTGAGGCTCCTTGTAGATGGTGAGGAGGGAGCTGGAGTCACAGCCACTTCCAGGGCTACTCCTGAGTGCTGGTGACATGTGGTGAAGAACTGTCCTGCAAATTTGGAGGAGCCTGTTCCTTCCTTACTGGCGCATCTAGACTGGAGTTACCAAGAGGTCTCCAAGAGGCCTTGTCCAACATTCACCGTGTTTCCTAAGCTTCTCCGGTTTTTCTCCCTTCTCATCCAGTATTTTCTATCTGAGGTTCTTACTAGCAGTGTGAACTAATGATATAAATCAGGAGACCCTGAATGTTCTGGTAGGTTCTGAAAGTCTTTGCCAGTGTTCAGTTCATGGAGAAGCCTGGGCTTTCATTCAGTCCTAGGGGCTTGCCCTGGCAGTGGCTTCATTTCAAGAGATAGTGTTGCTTTGGAGGTTTGTGACCAGGAAGAAGGAAAGGGGAGCAGCTCAGAGAAAGAAAGCACAGGGCAGAGAAATGGGGATTGCTATAGAGGAAGAGAAAAAGCAGGATGAAGACTATCAGGTTCAAGAGAGTTTTCAGCTTTTCACACGTTCATTTGTCTTTTCTGCTTCTGTATGAACTTTGTCTTCTCCATAAATTTTGTAGGAAAATAATTTTGGAATCTGAATTCCTTTTGGAAGCTTCCTTATATGAATGAAAAAATGCACCACACTGGATGTCTGAGATTTTGCTTCCTTTTTTACCTTATGGCTCTCTTACACAACTCATCCATACTAAAAGTTTCCAAAACAGTCAGCTGTGATTCTGAAATATGCTTAGTGAAATGGTGCCGTGTAAGAAGATGCGAACGTGGGTTTGAGTGAAAGATTGAATGTGGTTGAGGAACAGGAGGCTGATTCAAAGAGAGCTCAGACTTGGCCTAAGAAACCCCGAGAGTCTCACAGTGGAATATTGAGTCTTGGGCTGCCAACCTAGGGGTTGGCCCTCTCTAATTACACGCCTGCCAGTATCTGCCATGCCTCAGTGGCCTAATATTTGGAGGCCTCTCTCCCAGGCCCAGGCTTGAGTGAACACAACAGGTTGTGACAGGAAAGTGCTCAAGGTTCTCAGGTAAGTTTCCTTCTCTTTGGGTGTTGGGCTCCCGAAACATTCTGAACCCACTGTCTGCTGGAGCCGGCATGATGATGGACTCATAGACCCGCCTGTCTTCCTCCATGTGAACTTTGACTTATGACTTTGAACAAAAAGAAAGTTGATATTTTGTCAGTAATAAGGAAAGTTTTTTCCTCCAGTAATAAACTTTTTCAAATCCGGTCAGATAACCCAATCGTTTCTCATTCTCAGGGTTCTTGAAAAGGAGGTCAGAGCTCTACCAACTGTGAGGCTCATCTCACCTTGTGTTGGGGAGACTTCCAGTGGGGCAGCAGCAGCGGGCATCAGAGGAGAATGCAGATGCCAAATTTAAGATCTGAAACTGTGATTGGGGACCAAGCCCAGGGCCCTGTGCATCGCAGGCATGTGCTCTGCTACCGAGCCACACCCCTGACTTCAAATTGAGGTTTCTTGATGCGAATAAATTTCTTGTGGTTTTAGCAACTGTGTTCACAATAGTTTGCATTGTGCTAATTTTAGTATAGATAATTCTTTTTAAAATTCTATAGTGTTCTTTAAAATTAGCCTATAACATTTTGAAGACTAAGCTTTTTTTTTTGACTAAATTGTATTCTACTTTTTTCCCTGAGTAATTGTCATCATCAACTTGA